AGTATAGAGAGGGCAATATATATATATATATATATATATATATATATATATATATATATATATATATATATATATATATATATATATATTACACACACACACACACACACATATATATATATATCATTTTATCTGATTTTTTTCTTCACTCTGCATTATTTACAAGTTATCCATTGTTTTTATAGTACATATTTTTCACTTAGTGACCTATGTTTCTTCATTTGCAGGATCATGTCCAGGAAATTGTAGTGGACATGGTACGTGCCATCCAAATGGTATCTGTGAATGCGAAAGTGGCCGTACGGGCATTGACTGCTCCACTGGTATTTCTCCTCCATTTTGCTCAGAACCTACATTGCTTAGCCTGTGTTCTTCTAATTCATTTATGTTTTTCTCTGTACATCAACTGTTAGATGCTCATGCTCTTAGGCAAAAGAAAGCATACAAGTTGAATAATTAATGCATATTTTACAGCTATATGTGATGAGCAGTGCAGTTTGCACGGAGGAGTATGTGACAATGGTGTCTGCGAGTTCCGTTGTTCTGATTATGCAGGCTATACTTGCCAGAACAGCTCATCATTGCTGCCTAGCCTTTCAATTTGTAGTGATGTGCTTGCCCGAGATGTATTTGGACAACACTGTGCACCAAGTGAACCCAGCATACTGCAGCAGCTTGAAGCAGCTGTAGTAATGCCTAACTACAACCGGTTGCTGCCAGGTGGGCGGACACTGTTTAACATCCTTGATAATGGCTATTGTGCTGCTGCAGCGAAGCGGCTCGCATGCTGGGTATGTTATCTATTGCCTATTGACCTTTGCAATTTCATCAAATGTTCTTTCCACTGGTTCTATATATCACTTTCATACAAGGATATTATCAATTTCTTTGAATTGATTTTCCATAATTTTTATAAACATTTTACATGAACCTTTGATGATATTATCAAGATATGGGCAGTGTCTATCAGCAAGGACTTAGACTTGTTCCTACAGATTGTTATGCTGAATAATACAAACAATTAGCGTGAGTTTACTTGAGGCCCATGTTTTTCGGAGGCCATCTTGGTCCTATTTGCTGGTGCTTGTCATCACTGGCAGTGCTCTTTTCTTTTTAATCACTAATTTAACCAAGTTGGTGTTGCTAAAGACATGCATCTGCACCACCATTTTGGAACGAGGATTAACCAGTTCTTATTTTTTGCTCCTGTCTTAGATTTCAATCCAACGTTGTGACGAGGACGGAGACAATAGACTTCGGGTGTGCCACTCTGCGTGCCGGTCGTATAATGCGGCATGCGGGGCAGGTCTTGACTGCTCGGACCAAACTCTTTTCAGCAGCGAGGAGGAAAAGGATGGGCAGTGCACAGGCTACGGTGAGATAAGACCGTGGTGGATAAGACGCTTTGGGAATCTGTATTTGCAAAGCCAGCGGAAATTGTAAAGCTTTAGTTTTGATGATTGTATCTCTTTTGTCCGTCATTTTTCACTCAACCTTTCTATTTTAGGACCAGTGGCACCTGTAATTTGCGTGCCAAAGCTTAGGGCCTGATTTCACCCAGGCAGAGGGAATCCTTGAAGAAGGGGATTCATGGGTGTTTTGTCTTTATGATATAGAGTTGGGTTTGTTCTAAGAATTAGCCCAACGAACAGTTAAAATGTGGCGAGGATGGAGTAAAAATGGGAGGAGAGGGTGGAAACGATTTGTTGTATTTGTTATTACCCTGTTCCTATCCTTTGGAAATGATGTGCCATTTTCTCCTCATTTGTGTAGGTGTCGTTTAGATATTGTGGCTCTGCGTGCTCTCTCAAGCAATACGTTTCCACTGGAGACAATACGTGCTCTCTCATTTGTGGCACTGGTTGATCTGCGGCATGGCAAATCTAAAGTGGTGTGGATTCGCCTGAGAAAAATATAATTCTTCTATAAGGTAGAAAAAGAATGTCATCTTGTCTCCATGTTATCAGATGTTTCTAAATGCATGGAAAGCTAATGAATTCTTCACAGAAAAATATTATCTCTATTAACTCTGCTTAAACATGGTATTTCTATGAACTTCTGCTTAAGAACATTATCAAGGCAACACATTAGTGATCAATTTGGCACTGAGATATCGTAATATAAGTAGTATTTTCGAGCTTAAAATACATTAAAAAGATAGAGAAATAGGGAAAGAAGGCCATAAAACTACCACGAGTTTATGTTCATATTTATCCCATATCAATAGACCTTAATCTCATTTCCTTATTCGATCGCGGTCTTATTACAGGGGTATTGGAGCGAGCTACCTCTTCTTGCTCTGGGCGTCTGCCGCGGAGGGGCAGAAGGTGATGAGGTAGTCGGCGGTGCCGGCGGCGCATGTGAACGTGCTCGTCGCATCGTCATAGGCGTAGCTGTACGCCGCCGGGCACGCTGCCTTGAACAGCTGCGAGTACCGCGTCGGCCCGCACGTCGCCGGCGAGCCGTGGGCGCCGGTGCAGCAGTATTCCGGTGCCCCGAAGGCCTCGCACGCGCTTCGGCACGCCACCGTTTCCCCGGACTCTGCCGGCACCCGCAGCTCCGCCGGGCACCGAGCGTTCACGTCCGCCACGCACCCGGCGTACCGGCAGCTGCCCCTCGAGGGGCGCACCCCGATGCCGACGTTGTAACCGTCGACCAAGCTCACGTCGTAGAAGTCCTGGGTGCCGTCGCCACTGCCGAGGGTGAACTCCGCGAGGCTGGCCGGTGGTGCGCCGCCGACTACGCAGCGTAGGACGCCCCCGCAATCGCCAGTGGCGCAGGTCCCGTTAGAGGAGGAGGAGCCGAGGAGGCATCGTGTGCGGGCCCAGAAGCGGCCGGACCAGCCGGGTGGAGCGGAGAAGGAGGCGGTATCATTCAGGGAAAGCTCGAATCCGCCGCCGCCGAGGAGGGCAGCCCCGTTGCCGGACAATGTGCCCGGCCAGATGGTGTAAGGGCAGTTGTTCTTGAGGGTGAAGGTGGCGCCGGCGCCCGCCGCTTTCGTGGTCCAAAATGCCCCTGTCTCATATGAAAGTTAAGGGCATGCGAAGCCGTGACGGATTGCTTGAACTTTCGTGTGAAGCAGATGCCTACCTGAGACGAGCAGCAACAGCAGGAGGAGGAAGAACTTCGGCAGGAAAGCCTCCATATGTTAGAGAGAGAGAGAGAGAGAGAGAGAGAGACAGACAGCGCAGGTCTATTTAGCAGATAAGAGGGCAAAATGTTCTCCACAGATTAATTCTATTAATTCACTTTCAAAGAAAAAAAACATAAAATTAATAGTTCAATCAGTTGCAAACATCATTTCCAAATAGTTTGAGAACATATAAATTCATTTTAGTACAAAATAATCCTCGTAAAAGAACTCACGCATGATGGATGATCAGAACTGGTTTTTCACCTACTTGACAGCTTAATAGTTTTTGCTGGGCAGTCAACATTCGTTTCCTCCTGCGTACGCCGCCTGATCTTGATGTTTCCTGACACGATCTATGAGACTGGAATTGGGCAAGCAACCCTGCATCGACCGATCCTGTGACCGTCAAGCTTCTCTCCAGAAGCAAATGATTGTGGGTGCGTCAGAGTGATTGCCACCTCCTCGCATAATGGCTACGGTTAGCATCATCCATTTCGTCTCTTCTGCTCTCAGATCATGTGAGTGAATAGGACGACGATGATCGAGCAAGCACACGATACATCCCCGAGCTCCTCAGTCCATCTCACTTTTTCCGTTTCTTCCATCTTCCACCAAGGACAAAATCCTGTGTCTCACGGATCCCCATCGTTTGCGTGTGACCTTCGGAGCCATTGCGTGGTCTCCGTTCTCTCCGTATCTCCACTCCACTACATACATGCTTGAATTCAAGATCTTGTTCTTCATCCTCTTCCAGTAACATAGGATTACTGTGACTAACAGCCGGGAGCGCATCTATCATGACGACAATATCCCTGCAGTGCAACCTGCATGGAAAATTCCGCCACCCACCTCGAACTCCACAAACTTCGTCGTCCGTTAATTTCTTGATCCACCTTATCATCAACCTTATCCAACGGCTGTCTCGGTTCCTTCGTGTCCCGTGTCTTGTTTTCTCTCAACAATGCTCTCACCATAAGAACACGACAAGAAGGTGAAACGAGAATAGGGTGTGACACATTCCCTCCATAAGTCTCTTATCACATGCAACGCATGAGGGTGTGATGCTGTCATTTCTACGGCGATATATGTTTGGTTGCAACACTACTTTGATCTTTTGATCTTATTATTCTCATCATTGCTGGTTATCATAGCCATTGGTAATAGTAACTGCATGCGTAAGTCTCTTCATTATTACGGGTCAAAAACAATAATAAAAGGGAACATTTGTTGTCGTTGTTATAACATTATATAAATCTCTTAGGACGGGGTTATTGCAGCTGATCATATGAGATTGTTTGACATGAGAGAGACACACACTGAAGAGGTTAGGCATATGTCATTTCATATTGCCATGGAAGTCTCAATCTTCGACCTCACACCTAACTCTCATCATTTGTATTATCATCTCAACTTTTCCTTTCCCCGGGCGGGGCAATCTTTGGTTTGACTTGATACCGAAGAAACATGAACGCAGTCGCCATCATCTCTATGAATGAGCGCTGAGTTCAACCACATTTTCTCTTGGTTTCATATGAAAACGTGACGATCAAACAACATATAAATGTGCGTATAGCTCAGTGCTCACAAAATCCAACCTTGCATGCGGCTCAAATCATTCCACTGAACTGACGTGAAATCTTCAGAGCTAGAGAGAGAGAGAGAGATGTGTTCGGATGCTCAGGTAGCAACCATGGCGAGGTTTGTGAAGCTCAGCAAGCACCAAGAACCAGTAATCTTTGTTAGAGGCGACGCCGCCTCTTCGAGGCCCTCGAAGGCCGCGAGAGGTGTCTCGGGTCGTGCTGTAGATGTATCGCATGAAGTCATGTCACAACAAACTGGCATGGCCCGACCCGGTGGACGCGGTGACCCGGGCCGGAAGGAGTTCACTGGGGAGCTGGAGGCACTTGTGCTGAAATCATGGAGCGTGATGAAGAAGGACGCTCGCCGGCGTGCTGAATGAACAGTTTGAGGTAATGGTTCGGCTGAGCTATTTACTTTAGCGGCAATTTACATGTGATATAATTTGATTTAATATACGCTCAACTTTGACTAGATTACTGGGGCATGAATTAAGAGAGCCGAAGATCATGATCAACATCTCTTCTTGTGGTAAGGTCTGCAAGCTGGCATGCACGAAGGTCTCTGACAAAATGACGGGCCTGTGTGTCCATCCTTTCGACGCATGGAACGAGTGACAAAGTTTGCGCTGTTGGACACGATCAAGGAGGCAGTCGCCGATACGTGGTGCCCTGAGATGAAGGCGGCATGGGGATAGAGGCTTACGACCAGCTGGTTGTAGCTATCAAAGAAGAAATGAAGACTGTCCCTTCCGCATACTGTTTTACCCTCGCATTCAATAAATAGACAAGAAAGAAGAGGCGTCATGCATGTGTGCTGTCTCCTGCAGCTTTAACTTCACTATGTTATGTGTGCACTTTCCGCTACGTACAGTTCCCAGAGACGTACATGGTTTTTGAGACGATTTACCAGCGTACATCAGGTTCTGTCGAAGAGCGTGGAGTGGACCAAGATAAGAAACTGGAACTCCACGTGTAATTGACCTTATCACACTATTATGCAGTCCAGACGATTCCAGTCGTCGTAGAATTTATTACGTGGTCAATGATCCTGGAAACAAAATGAAGTACGCTATGGAAACTGAATCGGAATACAAATGATAGCTATTTCTTCTTCATGTTCATTCCAAGAACATCGAATGCAAAGCCAGCGCCTTTATTTTCTGGTGATCTCTCAAGTACTCTGCTTCTCTCCGACCAAAGATCGAACACAACGTGAAGAGATCCGATCGACCTAGTAAGGCTTCTGCCCCTGTATGTTCCCAGGGGGATTGTAAAGGCAGAGCGTGAGGGTCGCCCCTTGCCCGACGCAGTTGGCCTGGGCGCACCCCACCTCCGCCGTATTCCTCCACACCACCTGCGTGTACGTCCCGCACTCGTGCCCCGCCGCGCACGAGTTGTTGGCGTAGCTGAAGTACTTCCCCTCCTCCACCCATGACCGCACAGCCTCCGCCGGCTTGACCGGGTAGCTCGTCCATAACTGGTTGGCCCCGTAGGGGCTCGACTCCAGGTCCGCGAAGCCGCACCCCTTCTCCTTCTGCTGCGCCACCACCCGGCTGGCTTCCGAGCCCAGCTTCGCGCTCCACCGGAGCTGGCCCACCGCGACCGCAGCGCGGGCCTGGTCGTGGCCAGTCAGGAACTGGTCCTCCGCGCTGGTTTGGGGCTTCCGCTGAGCGGCCGGGGCCGCAGCGGACGCCAGGAGTACGTGCGCCCGTCTGGCTTCCACGGAGCCGGTGCACGTCAACATGGCCACGGCCAAGAGACAAGGAAGGACGAGTCGGTGGAAGCTCGAAGCCATCATCATCACCCTCGCTCAAAAAGTCTCAAACAGACAAGTTCATTTGGTACTTGTGCAATGGGTATATAAAGATGATGATGCATTAATTTTCGTCTTTTGAGGTAGATGGCATGCATTAGTTTGGGTGTCCATGCACTGGCTTCTCGGCAATCGGAAACTTGATCCGACGCACTCCAAGGTCAACTTCGGGAACCTCCATAAACGCTGCCATTAGTGCAGACCAGGGTGGTCCAAGCTCTAAGATGGTGTCTCTGTTCCCCATTTGGCAGAAGGCATTGATGGCTACTAAACTTGTTGTGCTCGTCTTTTCGTAAAGAGGAGGAGTTTGGGGTGCAGATAAATGTATTCACGTGTGCACTTGATTCCTCCGCAGTGAGGAAGATGAACCTGTCCACGTGAAATTGATGGAAGACAGAGCCCACGTGAAATTGTATAAATGAAGTGACCATTGCCATCCGTTCAATCCAACTCTGTCTCTCTTGTCTCTCATGCTATCAATCGTAGACGGAGAATTATCTTTGTCTACAAAGATAGATCAAGTTGTTATCATCAGCTTTAAATATTTGATTATAGATCTTTATATTATTGTACCAATAAGTAGATCTAACAAACCAAGGTTGAACTGATGGAGGAGCTGAGAGACGCTGCTCTTTCTTCTACAACTCATTTGTATGATTTTGTATTACATTTGAAGGGAAAGTTTCTGAAGTACAAGAAGAAGGAACAGCAGGACAGATCAATGGATCACATTGCCCAACAAGCTGTTTGCGGAAGGAGAGCTCTGCTCACTGAACCATGGGTCCTGCACAGAAACAGGGGACTCCACTTCCGCTTCCTCTCTCATGCTGTTCACCAACACCAACCTCTTGCTCTTCGATCCCGCGCGCGGCTTCTCGTTGCAACTCGAAGGGGACGAGCAGAAGGACGACGCCGTCGACAAGAACATGCCGTCATCCGTCGGCGCCCACCCGCTGAGCTTGATCTGTTCGAGCTCGTCTGCTACCTCTGTCATGGAGGGCCTCATGTCCCTGTGGAAGGCAAGGCATCTGAATGCCAGTTCGGCCACCTTGCGAATGGAAGCCAGCGTCCAAGCATCTCTGTGCGGCTCGAGGTACGGGTCTATGATCTCTTCGACGCGCCCTCCGCCGATCTTATCGATCGCTAGCGCCGCCAAGTTCACCTCGCTCTGCGCCCTGCTGAAGTCCACGGCCTTCAGCGCGGTGATGATCTCCACCAGCACGACGCCGAAGCTGTAGACGTCGCTCTTGTCCGAGAGATGGAAGTTCTGGTGGTACTGGGGATCCACGTAGCCCGGGGTCCCCTGCGGCGCCGTCGAGATGTGCGACGTCTCCGTCATGCCCATCCTCGAGAGGCCAAAGTCTGCAACCTTGGAGTTGTAGTTGAAATCTAGCAGTATGTTGCTGGACTTGATATCTCGGTGGTATATCGGAGGATGAACCGCCGAATGAAGGTACGCGATGGCCTTGGCGGTCTCGGTGGCAATGGCGAGGCGGACGGTCCAAGGCAGCGCAGGCCCTCGCTCCCTCTGCAGGTGCTGAGCCAGCGTGCCATGGGGCATGTACTCGTACACGAGGATCTGCTCTCCTTGCTCTACGCAGCACCCGAGGAGACGGACTAGGTTGGGGTGGCTCACCGAGGAGAGGAGCCTGATCTCGTTGATGACCTGTTCGATGCTGTCGTGGTCGCGGTTCTTGATCTTCTTGACGGCCACCAGCCGGTGGTTGCTGAACTTGCCGGCGTATACTGTTCCGTAAGCGCCGGTGCCCAGTATCTGGTCCTCCGAGAAGCCATTGGTGGCCTTCTCGATGTCTTTGTAGGAATAGAGGGGAACGGTGCACGATGCTTCGCATAGCAGCCGTCTCATGCTCTTCCGCTTTCTCGTCGAAGAAGAGTGGCGTTTGATGAAGCAACAAACGAGAACCAAGGCCGCCATTGCAGAAGCTCCGGCGATGATGCCTGAAACAAGATGTATAGCTCCTTTTTATTGCTGATGCAGTCATGGAACATCAAAGAATTTGGCAAGAGTAATGCAAACGCCTTCACGGCTTCAAAGATCACATCTTTAATCTCAGTCAATGCTAATAATTACAATGAACTCTTTCCCATCTACACATTGTTTGGATGCTAGGATGAACTATCTACCAGTGTT